TGAGGCAGCGGCAGAAACGCAGGAAGCTGGAATGTGCGGCTTTATTCGGTGCTGCCGTCTCCGCTACATTCAAAACTCGAAGAGGTGCGTAAACTAGCAGTATATTGTGTTTTTCCGCTTGACTTGCACTTCGCAACGACACAAGCTTGTTTCTGGCATGTTTTCTGCAAAAAAACGTCTGACGTGTTTACGTTTTACATGGCGTGAGGGCGTGAAAAAGCTACGCTAAATCCGATCTGACCGGTCAGACTGAAACGGATTTCCAGGAATGCGATTTGAATAGGATTACAAACCACATATGAATGTAGCTCGAAACGGATTTGCAAAAATTGGATTTCATGTAGTTCGTTGCTGTTTAGACTATCTAAATATGATCGGATTTCAATCGGATTTGCACAAAAATCGGATTTGGGCTGACAGTCTGAACGAGGCTTTGGATAAATAGGTTACAGAATATCTGTTCTCTTATTTTCTTGTCACATTTACTGAATTCTAGGAGCGATCTTTTTCTCTGAAGAAAGCAACAACCCCTCGCCGAACACCAGCAAAACCACTGAAAGACGCTCCAGACTCCAGTGCAGCACCGACAGATGTAGACACTCACACACCAAAGCCAGCTAACATGTGTCCAGACCCCAGCGCTCCTCCTGTACAGACGGCAAGCAAAGAGTTTGAGGACGAGCCATCAGATCCCTTTCCATCCATAACCCCCTCCAAATCCTGGTCTCCAGCTGTGGGCTCTGCACACAAGAGCTTGGAGAAGGTCCAGTTTCTAAAGCAGTCCATGACCAAGAGGTTTTCCTCTGTGGACACGGACTGGCTTGCACGCTGCCAGGTTTTCGATGAGGTGGAAGAACCTCAGAAACCTGTTGCTGGGAATTCAGAGCTGTCACAAATCGAAAACAGTGTCTTACAACCTACTGTTAAAAGCGAAACTGCGTCAAATGAGGGTCAGACATCTCCTAAGGCTTCACTGGAGAAGAAGAAATCTTCCTTGTCAGAGGATGGTGTACAGAAAGGTCCAGTAGTATCTTTAGTAAGGAACAATGTGGTGGATGCAGAATTGGGCTCCCCGGGGCCTGATGGTGAACAGGTATATCAAAAAAACACTGCGGCTCTCATGAGAGATGACGAGGCCTGTTCAGAGGAGCCTAAATCTGCTTCAAACGCTAAGAAACGCAAACCCAGGGCTAGAAAAGATCAAGACTCAGGTGACCGAGCACAGGCCGAAGGTGGCAAAAAGACCAAAGGTCGAAAAAGACAGAGGGAGGGTGATGATGATGACGTGCACGAATCTGAGGAGCAGGAAGGTGGAGTGAAAAAGAGAAGGAGAACTAAGAAAGGAGAGGCAGCTGGAGAGGATCAGCCCAAAAAAGGAGGAAAGAGGAAAGGAAAAGTCGAGGAGGAGGATGATACTGCCAGTTCAGAGAAAAAAACAACCCAGAAACGAGCAATTCCTCAGGAGAATTTGCTGGGAGAAGTGGATGAGGAGGAGGCCAGAGCCGCTGCATATACAATGAAGAACACAGTCAGGGTCAGGTGGGTACCATAAACATCAGTTATTGTCACATTTTGTTCAGTGTTTTACTGATTTATTGTCCTCATCCTGAACCAGGCCAACCAAAAACACAGATGGGAACTTTGTGAAAATCAATTTAAAGAAGAAGTCCCATGTCAAGGGATTTGCTTTGAGAGGAGCTGTGCTAAGGAAACAGGTTGGTTGATAACACCAAAATCAACTTCTTTTAAGGAATAGTTCATCCAGAAATTAAAATTGTTATAGTTTGCTCAACCTTTTTGTTGCTGTAAACCGATATAAATTTCTACTGTGAAATACACATACAGATGTTTCAAAGGAATTTGGACACAATGACACAATTTATGACACAAAAATGACAAATTTTACAAGATGACAGTATATAGTGACCACGACTATCGAGCTCTATAAACAAACAAAAAACCAGCATAAAAATATTCCAGATAATTTGTATATTGTATATTACAAGGCTTTAGATGTCCCAGAGTAGATTAAATTTAAGCAGTGATTTACTGGAAATGTTTTCCCTCCCATCAGAGCTCTAAAACCTTTGTTGTTTAGTATTGTTGATCTCAGATTTCATGCATTGTAAATCTTATGCAATTTTTTGAGAATAGATTACAAATTTCTGTCATTTCCAATCTGAAGTATGATCCATGTGATTTGCATAAATCCAGAGGAAACATATCAGCCATCTCATTTATTTTGTGAATTGTTTATATCTCTGTTGTCATCAAAAAAGAAACTTTACAGTCCACAGTGGTTTTGCGCCAAAATAAAAGCCCTAGCAATTGAAAGCAAATAAATCAAGACATCTGCAAATATTATTAGGCTGTTGTAATTTTACTGTTGTTCTGTAAAATACTGGTGGTAGTGTTATTATTATTATTATTATTATTATTATTATATATTTTTTAGAGTAATATTTTACTACTACAATAGTATTAATAGTAATTTTTATTGATTTAATTTCTATAATTTAAATAATTAAATAATATTATTTTGAATTAAAAAAAAAATACAATTATAAATACTGAAACTATGTTTATAAAATGTTTTTCATTGGGTAATTCATTAATGTGGCTTTCTCAATGTTTTATAATTCTAGATTTACATGCAGAAGTTCCAGCTGAAAGGCGAGCGGTTTGGGGGCGGAGTCGGAAGGGGCAGGGGGCGGTTCGGTGGCTTCAATCGTCAAGGCGACACCTGCTACAAGTGCGGCGGGACGGGTCACTGGGCACGAGACTGTCGAGGAAGAGGTGAGAGGCTGCGCAGGGCACGTGACTCTGCTCTCATGAATTTGTGGTTATGTTATTGATAAATCTGGATTTGTGTTTCAGCTCCTGTTGTGAGTTCTGCAGAACAGCAGGAAACCCAAGTAGAGGAGGAGGAGTTTGAGCTGCCCACTCTGGAGGAAGTTGCTCGGGCGACAGGAACTCTGCGGTCGGAGCCTATCGGTGGGTCTGCATGGGGCACATGTTCAATTACAGCGATTAGTCACTTGTTGCAAAACACCCTAGCAACCCATCTGTTTTTATTTTTATTTTTTTAAATTTTTTATATTTTTGATTTCATTTTAATTTTAGTTTACGTTTTAGTCATTGTATTGTGTGTTTTTGTCATTTTTATTAGTTTTTTAAAATGTTTTTTCTTGCCTTGAAAACTAGCTGAAATAAAATAACATTTAAGAATTTTTTACATTTTATTTTATTTATTATAATTTATAATATCCATATCACCCACAATAGCAAAGGTAAAGGTTTTGTTTTCTTTCTTCAGCGGCCCCTCCCTCTGTGGGCGGAGACTCCTCTGAGAAGGAGGATCAGGGGGCGGAGATACTGCTCAATATCATCAGACCAGATTATGAGCGGCCCACCCCTCCTCCACCTATGGAGCCGCTCTACAGACCAAAGGATGATGGGAAAGTTCAAGGTATGTCACATTAATGTGCTGTAAGAGTTTAATTCTGTGCAAATGTCTTTTTATTCTCTGTCTTTCCTTTGATTTTCCACAGATGTCTCGCCAGAGGTGTACGAAGCACTTCGAGACTTTGGTTACAAGTCCTTCAGGCCTGGTCAGGAGACGGCCATCATGAGGATCCTTTCAGGTGGGAGGAAGTTATTAGAAGCTTGAGGCATTACTACATTTCTGTATTTCAACACATCCATACTGCAGTGCAGTATGAATCATATGATTGATGCTAAATACAAATTACGTACCAAATGATGAATAAAACGGCAATAATAACCACAATTGAAGGGATTCCTGTGTGTTTTTACTGTTTAGACCTAAAAATGGATGTTATTGTCTAATATTTGTTCAGTCTGAAATAAATTTCCTAAAACCCATTTTAATATATTTTAACCCACATATGAGTGAGTTATGCTGTTCAGACAAGTAAAAAGCTAAATTAATTTGAGTTGCATGTGAAGTGTTAAGTGGGTTCTCTGATCTGTTGGTGGTTTTGTTTTCATTCAGGTCTGTCCACATTAGTGGTTTTGTCCACTGGTATGGGCAAATCTCTGTGCTACCAGCTTCCTGCGTACCTGTACGCCCAGAGGTCAAAGTGCATCACGCTGGTGGTGTCTCCTCTGGTGTCTCTGATGGATGATCAGGTACGTTTGACTTTGTAGTGGAAATATAAGTTAAGTATTCTAGAAAATGCTGTTTATAATGCAGGGAATTCTCACTCAGGTTTGCTACATTGTGTAGGTGAGAATTCATGAGCATGTAGCTTAAAACATCTCCTGGGAGGTAGAACAACCATTTAATGTGTTTGTTTCATTTTTACATTGTTTGTGAAGCTCTCAGGACTCCCGCCGAAGCTGAAAGCCGCCTGCATCCACTCCATCATGTCTCGGAAACAGAGAGAAGCGGCTATTGAGAAGGTAAAGACTATAAAATAATTCACAAATGATGTGTAGCATGTCTTGTAATACAGGTATAAAGGCTATAGGTTTTTTTTTCATCTTAGGTTTTTCTAACCAGTGTTATTTTAGTATCATTAATACTATATTATAGTATTTATTAGCAATTTTTTTATTGTTATATTTTTCATTTTAATTTGTCATTTTTGTCTTTCTTTTTTTTATGATTTTTGTTTAGTTTTTATTAATTTAATTTAAAATATTTAAATATTTAAAAAAAATTTTTTATTTGTATTTATATTTAGTGATTTTAGGTCAACTTCAATGTTTTATTTCAGGGCAACAATTCTAATTTTAACCAAAATTACTGTTTATTGTTTTTTTTTAATGTATTTTCATGGTAGTTTGTTATAGTAATTTTGTGATGCACGTTTTTATTTTTATAAATATATATATTTTTTAGCTTCAATTTATTTTTATTTTAGTTTTAGTATTGAATTTTAGTACTTCAACTTATTTTATTTAAGGTAGTTACCAAGGCAGCATTTCTAATTTTCATTTTTAAATGAATTTTTTATATAGTTTTTGTTTTAGTTAACAACAAGACTGTTCTTAACCAGACCAGTAACAGCATCAAAATATTTAGATTTGTGAAGCAAATATGTAAACGCATTTTGTTTTTCACAAATTGATTCATCTCTGCTAGTTAGAACAAGTGAGACTCATCATGTGTTAAATGAATCTGTGAGCATGTGTGACTTAGTTTGATGTATTTTATTGTGTGTGTAGGTGAAGGCCGGTCAGGTGCATGTCCTGCTGTTGTCTCCTGAAGCTCTGGTTGGCGGAGGTCACTCGGGGTCAGGATGCCTCCCTCCTGCAGACCAGCTCCCTCCTGTGGCCTTCGCCTGTATCGACGAGGCTCACTGTGTGTCTGAATGGTCACACAACTTCCGGCCCTGTTACCTGAGACTGTGCAAGGTTTGTCTCTCAAATGAATCATATTTTTCTTCATTTGATCATTTCAGAATTAATGTATGTTTGTGTTGTGTAGGTGCTCAGGGATCGGTTGGGTGTGCGCTGTCTGTTGGGTCTCACTGCCACGGCCACTTTGTCCACAGCGCTGGACATCGGCCGACATCTGGACATCAGCGATCAAGACGGAATCGCCGTCCGTTCTGCTGCTGTCCCTCACAACCTCCAGTTGTCCGTGTCCATGGACAGAGACAAAGAGCAGGTGCGTTTAGAAAGTCTTGTTTTCATGTAAGATGTCAAATGCAACTAAACAACATTAAAATAGAGAAATTCATTTCAGAGAAATGAAACACAATGTGACTGTTTCACTGCTTGAATAGCTAAATATATATATCAGTTTTTTTTTGTAATTCTTTAGATTTTTTTTAAATTGTTTTAATGATTTTGTTACTCACACTTTTCTGCTCCAAAAATATTGGCCAAATCACAAATTGTCATCATTCTCTTAAACCTCAGTCTAACCTCTGAATACATGAAACATTTTAAATTTTAGAGAGATGCAATGCTTAAAAATCTTTTTCATGAGGTTATTTTGGACTTGGCACGAACAAGCTGTTACTAGGGATGGGTGATATGGGCTTAAAAAAATATCACAATATTTCTGGTATTTATTGCGATAACGATATCAATGACGATAATTTAGGGAATCTTGTTTCTTTAGAGAAAAGCATTATCTTTCCTATTTTTACCCAAAATAGGGTGTTGTGAGCATTACTGAGTACTATGACGGTTTAATTCATACTGGAAGCCGGAGGGCGCCCTTACGCAGAAACTCCACATATGCATCGCAGAAGTAATACTACTAACGAATACTAATGTCAACAAATAGACGTTATCATTATTATCGCGGGAAGACTAATTCTTATTGTGGGGGGATTTTTTACCGGTATATCGCAAACGATAAGATATTGCCCATCCCTAGCTGTTACACTTGTCTCAAATATCTTAATGTGTTCTCCTACAGGCTCTGGTGTCTTTGCTGAAGGGCGAACGCTTTGGCGCTCTAGAGTCGGTTATCATCTACTGTACCAGGCGAGAGGAGACGTCCCGTATCGCTGCACTGCTGCGCACCTGCCTGCAGGGGGTGATGTTGAGAGAGTCCTCCAAACCAGCACCAGAGGATGAGGACGACAATCCTGTAGGGAAGAAGAAGAAAGCACTTGGTAAATACATCACTGTCATACAAAACTCTTCTGCTCCTTCGCTTTGTTTGGAGGTATTTATTTCATTCTTCCACATCAACTCAGCCAGGAAAAAGATCCGTAAGCCTCTGAAGTGGATTGCAGAGGCGTACCACGCCGGGATATCTGCTTCAGAGAGGCGGCGAGTGCAGAATAACTTCATGTGCGGGGAGCTGCGTGTGGTAGTGGCCACCGTGGCCTTTGGTATGGGGTTGGACAAGTCAGACGTGCGTGGGATCATCCACTACAACATGCCCAAAAGTTTCGAGAGCTATGTGCAGGAGATTGGCCGAGCAGGACGCGACGGACACCCAGCACACTGCCATCTGTTTCTAGACCCAGAGGTCTGTGCTTGTGTAGTACTTTTAGTTATTTGTAAATTTATATTAGTGGCAATATTTTAATATTAGTAATATATTTTATACTTTATACTATATATTGTATACTATTACAGTATTTATTAATTTTTACTTTAATTTTAATTGAAGTTTCAGTAATTTAGTGTTGTGCTTTTGTCATTTTTATTAGGTTTTGTAAATATTACTGTTTAGGTTTAATTTATTTCTATTCCAGTTTAGTACTTCAACTTAAGCTTTAATTACATTTAAATATATTTAAGCTTTTTTTCTTCTAATATTTATATTGTATTTAATTTCACATTTATTTCAATAAAAAAAATATAAAGTATTTTTTTAATATTTATTTTTAATTTTTGTTAATAATAACAAAACTGCAGAAGATGTAGGATTGGTAATTTTATAATGTGGTTTTGTCATTTTTACAATTTTTTTAAATGTTACTATTTAGGTTTAATTATTATTATTTTATTTTTTTATCAGTTTTATTTTAGTACTTCAACTTTAAATTATTTTATTTCCATTTTAATTTACATTTCCATTTAAGTTTTTCATCTAATATTTATTTTTAAATTATTTTAGCTTTATTTCAATTAACAAAATTAATTTTAATAGTTTTAGTTAATTGTAGCTGTCAATTACACTGCAACAATTGGTATTTGTTTCTATTATTTGTATATTACATTTAGGGTGCAGACCTGCATGAGCTGCGCAGGCACATCTACGCAGACACAGTGGATTTTTATACAGTGAAGAAACTGGTGCAGAAGGTTTTTCCTCCATGTAAATGCAGACAGATTCAGCAGAAGCAGCAGGATTTTGCACAGGTAACACTTGAGTAATTACAAATGTGTTTTTTTTTATTGTATTTTCATACGTACTTTTTATTTTGTGTTTATTTTATTGTATTTTATTCATGTATTTATTAGTTTTATTTCTGTGTTTATTTTTATTTATTGAGTTGCATTGAAGTCTGAATGTCATACCCTGTAGGCTGCAGAAGTATCTGACAGTGAGTTACTGGAGATGGAGGTTTGTGAAGACACTGATCCACACCAGCAGCAGCTGTCCGAGACAGTGACTCCCACAGACCAACAACCACCGCAGACACACACTCCACATGAGCACAACAAACCAACTCAGACGACAGAGGAGAGCGACGGCGGTCTGAAACTGAGTGACGTGCGAGTACAGCGTGCGTGTCACACACATGAGAGAGCCATTCCCATGCAGGAGACCGTGGAGACCCTCGACATCACGGAAGAGAGTGAGACTTGGATAAACATGAGAGAAAGTGCTGTAATACAGAAGTTCTGAGAGTAAAGGGATCGATCAACCAAACATCATTTACTCACTCTCCTGAGACGTACATGTTTTTTTGGGGGGGATGTGCATCTAGAAATTAATGAATAGAACATTTCTCCACCTTGCTGATTATTGCAAAATCAATACCAGAATTGGCACAAAAAATATGTGGATGAAAACCCAAACACCATCAAATTGTTTATTCTTTTATGGTGCTTTTTTATGCTTTATTTGGAGTCCATTGTCATTGTATGGACAAGAGCAGGTTAATTTTCCATTTTGAATGAAATGAGGGTGATTCAATGATGACAGTATAGATTACTATACTATCATAATATTTTAAAAAAAATTGTTTCCCTTTTTAATCAGGGTTATTCTAGTTAACTAAAACTGGAACTAAAGTCAAAACCATTGCAAAAAATTGTTACTTGGAATAAAATAAACAAAAATCTCAGTTTAATGTAGTTTCACTTGATTTACTAAAATAACTAAAACTAAAATATAAGAAAAACTACATATGCATAATGAAAATGACAAAAATGTGCAACACAATTACTAGAACTAAAATGAAAATGGAAAATAAAAACTGATTCTAAATATTAATAACTATAATAGTATCTCAGCGATAACTAATATAACACTGATTTTAGTTTTAGTTGATTTTTTGGATGTTTATTTAGTTTAGACATTTTTATTTCAGTTTTAGTTTGAATAATTGTAGAATTTTAGCTAAAATAAAATTTAAAAAAAGCTCAGTTTGTCTTTATTTTATTTTATTTTATTTCAGTCAACCTGATTTTTAAATGATTTTTAAATGTAATATTTTTAGTTTTAGTTAATGATAAGTCTGGCGTGAACTATAGCTATCTTCTCGGATTAAGTTCTATGTGTTACGCTAAATCTAAATTCTCTGTGTGTTTTAGGTCTGGAGACCCTGTTGTGTTACCTGGAGCTTCATCCTCAGCAGTGGGTGGAGCTTCTTCATCCGACGCTCTCCATCTGTAAGCTGCAGTTTTACGGCGGTCCGCAACAACTCCGCAAAATCACCAAACTGTACGTTACTCTTTCACAGTGTGACCAAGTAGCTTTCGATGCTTCTAGAAGCTCATCAGTGCTGATTGTGTCATTTTGTATGTTGTCAGGTGTCCACCGGTCGCTGTGGCTCTGGCGCGCAAACGCATGGCAGGGGAGCGCGTGGAGTCATGTGACACTCTGGAGTTTGACGTGGTGGAGCTGGCGGACACTATGGGCTGGCAGCTTCCTCTGGTGAAGAGAGGAGTGAGACAGCTGCAGTGGGGTTCAGACACAGGTGAGAGGAGACCATATGGTTCACAGATCATCTGATGCATGGTAGGGTTGTGACGGTGAGGAAATTTTCCCACCGGTTAATCGACGTGTGACAACACCGGTAATACCGGTATCACCGTGGGGGCGGGGGCGTTCCCTCTTTTCCTCGCTTTCCTTCGCTTTTAAATAGCTT